ACGGATGTCATAACTTTCTCTAGTTTATTTGATCGAGCCTCACCCTCAAGTCTTGTGTTTATCCCTCAGAATAGATACAAGATTTGAGATAGAGTGTTCTTTCATTTAAACTGTGAAAATTATGGGGGTCCATTTGATTTCATACTTTTCTAAACTTAAATCTATATGTAAATTAAAGCGTCCTTCCGAAGCCGGCGATAGGATTTCGATTCCGATTACCGACAGCTTCTTACGGGCAACTCACCACTCCCCCAACTTTTTATCGCCGACAGCTAACAAGTGAGTTCACATTGTTTACGAACCATGAAGCTTTGAAATTTCTCAACAGCCAGAGCAAATTAAAGGATCTGCACGCCTCCTAGGTGGAATTTCTAGCATCATTTCAGTTCATGCATAAACATAAGACAGAAAGCCAAAATCACGTAGCAGACGCACTGAACAATCATCACTATTGATTGCATCAATGTTGGCTCGTGTCGTGAGTTTTGAAGTCGTAAAGAACTTATAAGACACGGATGAGGATTTCAAGAACATCTGGGAGCAATATCAAGAGAAGTCAAGCGGACAATTCTACCGAGCAGATGGATACTTATTCCACACGAGTTAGTTGTGCGCTCCGAGACGCTCGCTGAGAGAGGCTAGTGTTCCACCGAGGATTGGTAGGACATTTCAAAAGGGACAAGACTCTCACCCTCGTGAGAGAGCATTTCTTTTGGCCTTGACTGATTGAGGGATGTGGAGCGACATGTCAAACAGTGTAGGATTTGCCAACTGGCAAAGACAAGAGAGTTGAATGCAGGGTTATACACACCATTACCAGTACCAGAAGCACCACCGTGAGCAGATGTTAGCATTGACTCTGTGGTGAGGCTCCCGAGGACACAGAGGAACAAGGACTCTGTGATTGTTATGGTGGACAGATTCTCGAAAATGACATATTTCGTACTCTGCCATCGAACACTGGATGCATCTAATATCGCTTATTTATACTTTCGAGAGATCATGAGGTTGCACAGAATTCCCACGACCATCACCTCCAGCAGAGACGTCAAGTTTCTGAGCCACTTCTGAAGGATCTTATGGAGAAAGCTAGGCACCAAGCTCTAGTTCAGTTCGTCAGCTCATCCACAAATAGACATACAAACAGTGGTAGTGAACAAGAGCCTAGACAACCCTTTGAGGTGCTTCATGAGAAAGAATATCAAGCAGTGGGATCTTATTCCTGCTCAAGCAAAGTTTGCCTATAATAGAGTTGTGAGCCAGACTATAGGACGCACTCCGTTCGAGATTTTGTATGGTGGCAATCCGCTCATGCCACTTGAGTCAATACCACTTATGTCGGCATCAAAGGCCAGCGATGACACCACAAAACAGGTTCACAAATTAAAAAAATCAACAAGCAGGTTGGCAGAGAGATTGCTAAGCAGAACGACAATATTAGACCCAGGCAAATAAATCCGGGAAAAAGATGACGTTCCAGAAAGGAGAGCTTGTCTGAATTCGACTGAAGAAGGAAAGATTTCCGTTAGGAGCATTCGGGGAGCTTAAGCCCAGAGCAAATCCCTTCACAATACTTTCAGAAGCTAAATAACAGTGACTACAAGATAGACCTACCATGAGACTACAATGTTTCGATCACGTTCAATGTTGTGGACCTGACACCGTATTTCGAGGAGCCAGAAGCTTCGACTAATGAGGTCGAAGGTTCCCCAACCTTTGCAGAATGCCACGGATCTAGGGGCCAGCTGGCCGTACGAGCAGCAAAAGAACCAGTTCGACCAGTTCAAAGGAGTTTCGATCCAGGCCCTAACTGGACTAAGCGGCATATTGGAAGGGCGACAATGCCGACAACCCTAACCCTATCTTTCCTTTTATGCTTTTTATGTATGAAGTCATATATATATATATATATATATAT